AAGATGTTTTGGTTTGCCATTGGTTTAGTTAAATATCAATACCCATTTTAAACAAACATCAATAGCTTAACTACAATAGCCATCAGAACCTGCCTCCTAGATGAAATGTATTACCCCCTTCTTCTAAGGCAGCAGAGTTTGAATGACATTCAAGAATACATTGCTTACGAGATAAATACCATTATTCTCTTGAAGTGAAAATTAAACTTATGATCATTAAGGTTTCAGACAGTTAAAAATAAAGGACTTTCCCTGCAAAATTGCATTTAAATTAAAAGACTGCATCATTTTTTCCCAAAAATGCATGAAGCAAAATTCATGAAAATCAGCCCATCATGTTTAGAAATTCTTGTTAAACATTGCCCAAGTAGAAATAGCAAATACCTACGCAATTGAAATACTATTGCTTAGTTCCAATCACAGTTCTGATAGTTGGGAAATGACGTACAACAGTTTGCACAACATCAGGCCCACAGATGGTATTTTATGAATAATAGCAGTGTTCCTCTCTGTGGTAGCAGAATTATTTTCTATAGCAGATGATAACTGATCTACTTATTTATTTAATCTATTTATTTATTCAATTTCTATGCTACCTCTCAATGCCCTGTACATTTAATTTTTCTTAACAAATCATTATTCCACATTCAAAACATCATAGAGAACAAAATAATTATGCCAGAGCTAGGAACTGGGGAATCAGTAATGACAGTTCTACATTGTAAGTGAAAACAGAAGGCAATGCTTTAATGAGTGACCCTTAAAATGTACTGCAAGAGAAATGTTGTGGTAACCCTTTAAAAATCACTGGTGTGTGTTATTCTGGATGTTGACAACTAGCAGTTAGCATGACAAACTCATTTTATTGCTGTACCTATTTTGAAGTCTGTCCAGAAGTTGGCTTATTGCCTATCTGACTCGATGGACTTTATAAATATAAATTGTTACGGAAATGACAAGAATTAACAAGTTGCAGAACTTTTTGATCTATATGTCCGAGGGGAGATTTATACTGATGTTTTTTATAAAGTAAACCACAAACTAGATAACTTTCCAAAGTCTCCTAGCTTTTTGATCTTGAATGGTTTTGTGCAATAAGATATTTTCAAATAGGGAAAAAATCATTTATACAGCAGACACTTTATCTGACTTCATCTTTCAAAAATGTATGAGACTAATACTAAGCACTATTTAATCATGTGCAAATGACCTATCAGGAAATCAGCCAGGAAATGGATAGAGATTCCTGAGCACTGATGCAAAGTATTGCATGGGCACACTTTTCTAACAACACAGCAGTTGTTATTTTTGAATTAAATAATCCTTACTGAAGACACCAAGGGTTACATATGTGATTGCTTAGCTATGGATTTTTAACAAGATTCAAAACAGCAATCTTTTAACCAAAGGGATTTCTTCAAACATCCAACTGGGTAGGAAAGTCAAATAGTAGTCTTTTTCCCAGATTCTTGGGAGTTGTTTGCCTGTGAAAAAACTCCTTCAAAGTTAGAAGAATGTTTTAATTCTCTAATCACATAACCAAAGCTTTCTTCAGTGGACCATTTGCATAGCAATGCTATTTTTTCTTCCTAGTTTGGAATTATCTGCTTGATGGGCCTGCAAACATTTCTTGTCTGTATTGCTGTATCATTCACCCACCCTTCCTAATTATTTCCCACAGTAGTTGTGGTACTTTCCTTTCCAACATTTCTGACAATTGATCATAGAGTCTTGGAATTACAGATGTTGCAGACCAACATTTGAGAACATAATTTCTTTTTTGCAAGGGGGGCGTTATTACAGTACTTCTGCAATATTTTTTCCAAAAGATTCAAGGTAATATAAATGGATACTAGCCTATGTATTTTTATAATATTAATGACCTGCCAAAAGTCAGCTGGGCTTTTCAAAGCAGGCTCAGATTTACAGCTATTATATCTTGTCATTTGCATTACTCATGGAAAACACTATCTCAGAAACCAGATTTGCCATCAGCAGTGATGATGCCTGTGTCTTGTGCTCATTTTGCTTTGTCATTTCCCTACTACATATGGTAGCTTTTTTTGGGGAAATTGCCATCATGATAGTGCTTCACGTGCAAAATTATCTTAACTATAGATGTTCTACAAGGCTCTCCTGTTTTAAAGCATGTCATATCTGGAGGCAGCTGCCATTTTATAGTTGGAAAATTGTAATAATCATAGAGAATTTTCTGTTTATATGGATATTTTTTATAACTTCTCAGACAGTAGCTCTTAAAATATTATAAAATTTAGTATCCTATTATGAATTATTCCTTCTAAATTAATGATTAATAATAATTATATAAACTACTTCTAATGCATAAACCACTTCTGAAAAACCTTGCCAAGGGACTTATCTGAGAATTGGACACAACTGAATGGATGAAAAAAAAAGTATAAATGCATTTATCATTGTAACATGTGATTTTTATCATTTTATTTTTTTGCAACCTTCTGACAAGCAAAGTCAATGGAGAAGCCATTCACTTAACAACAGTGTTACTAAATTAACAACTGCAGGGATTCACTTAACTGTAGCAAGAAAAGTCATAAAATGGGGCAAAACTCACTTAACTGTCTTGCTTAGCAATGGAAATATTGGGCTCAGTTGTGGTCGTAAATCAAGGACTACCTGAAGGTTTTTTTTAAAAAAGGCTGATAGTTGAGTAGAAGAATTGAAAGCATAGATATAGAAAACAAAGAACATGTGTCACATATATGGGGCTCTAATAGCCAAGTTCACTGGAAATTATAGGCCCACATAACTGGAGGGCACTAGCTTGAATAAAGCTTGACAATTCCATCCAAAGGAAAAGAGAAGCACAATGTCACAGTTGAAATAGACCAGATATATATTTAACTGTGGTATAAATATGGCTGAGGAATGAAGCAAGTTGAAACAAAACTTGTAGATATTTTTTCTTGGCTGTTTCTTTATATAAAATTATAAAGAGAATGAGAAAAAAGAAAAACTTCAAAATATAAGAACATGGAGTCATAGTGGGTGTTGCAGAGTTTTATTGTAACTCTGTCATATTTTCTAATGTTCTGAAATCTAGCAATCTATATTTTTATCATTGATCAGAACCTGCCATTGCACTGCTTGGACTGCAAAACTTTGATCTAGAATGATCCTGAAGGTAGTCATACTTCTGAGACAGTAATGAAGATATTGTGTACTATATGCAAATCAAGCCAACAAATACAGCTTTTTCTGTTATCACAGAAAAACTTAAATACTTAAGCCTCCCCAAAATCTAAAGTAGCCATACTTCTGGTTTTATTATTTTAGCTACATGAAGGATATAGAATACCATGAGTCAGAACTGAACTTTTCAAGAAAATGGAAGTATTCTCTGAAAAGGAAACATTCTGAGTGTTGCTATTTTGCAGAATAGCAATAGCAATAGCAGTAGACTTATATACCGCTTCATAGGGGTTTCAGCCCTCTCTAAGCGGTTTACAGAGAGTCAGCATATTGCCCCCAACAATCTGGGTCCTCATTTTACCCACCTCGGAAGGATGGAAGGCTGAGTCAACCCTGAGCCGGTGGGATTTCAACCGCTGAACTGCCGGTAACAGTCAGCTGAAGTGAAGTCAAGAGCCAAGGTGGCGCAGTGTGTTAAATGCAGCACTGCAGGCTACTGCTAGATCAGCAGGTCAGCGGTTCAAATCTC